ATAGGTAACATACAGAGAGAGGCAACCAACAGACTATGATAACACTAGTGCTTATTTTTAGGCATGGCTTCATTATTAGTTAAAAACGCATTGGTTTCTCCCTTTTCCCCTTTTTTCCTTATTTGTTTTGGCCAGTTTTTCTTCTTTTTTTTTCTCTTTCTCTTTCTTTTTCCTTTTCTTTTCTTTTTACAAATACGTTCATTTTTTTTAAATCGTGACTATTCTTAAATTCACAAACTTTTTTTCAAATTCGTGATTTTTTTTCCTTTTTTGCTAAATGCGTGAACTTTTTTCTTCAAATTCATGATTATTTTATTTAAAATTGATGAACTTTTCTTCAAGATCTATGAATTTTTTAAAATTTGATGTACTTTTTTTCAAGATCGATGAACTATTTTCAAATTCAATGAACTTTTTTCAGATTTGACGAACTTTTTTTAGATTCAATGAAAATTTTCCAAATCTGGTGATTTTTCTTCATATTTGATGAACTTTTTTTATATTTAATGAACTTTTTCTGAATTGATGAAGTTTGTTTCAAAGTCGATGAATCTTTTTCAAATTTGATGAACTTTTTTTAGATTGGATGACATTTTCACAGAACCGATGAACTTTTTTCAAATCCGATGAACATTTTTGAAAAAGATGGATGAACTATTTCCAAATTTGATGATTTTTTTCAAATCAATGAACTTTTTTAAAACATCAATGAACTTTTTTAAAAAAATCGTAAGCTTTTTACGAAATTTGAAGAACTCTTTTTGTTAAAAAAGTCAACTTTTCCAAATTGTTTTCAAATAATTCACAAATATAATAAATAGAGCGCGTACGTTGGTTCTTAATAATTTCGCGGCCATTCTAATCGTGTGGCACTTACCGTCTGCTGTGGTTAAGAAAACTGTTTTGGTGTTCTGCTTGCAAGGCGCGAGTTCGAGTCCTTTTAGCCGCACTTTTTTGTTGATTTTTTCGCGAGGCATTTTTCCTTCTACTGCGTGTGGTGGGCCGGCCCATGAGGTGCGGCGCGTGGGCGCCAGCGGATGAGACTTGTCTGCTCCCTTTCCATGCTCCCATCCGTGCTCCCGCGTACATGGCTTGATTTGATTGGAAGAAAATAAAACCCGGCCCCACTTCCTAAAAATCAGGGGGAGATGATTAAATTAGAAAAAAAAGGAAAAAGGATAGCCATAGGATGAAGTGGGAGCATGGGAAGGGAGCAAGTAAGCCGGATCCGGCGCCTCCCTTTCCATGCTCCCATCCGTGCTCCCGCGTACATGGCTTGATTTGATTGGAAGAAAATAAAACCCGGCCCCACTTCCTAAAAATCAGGGGGAGATGATTAGATTAGAAAAAAAAAAGAAAAAAAGATAGCCATAGGATGAAGTGGGAGCATGGGAAGGGAGCAAGTAAGCCGGATCCGGCGCCAGCTACTTGTTCGGGCGCTTAAGGCGCCGAACAGGAAGGAGCTCTCTAGTTGACCTCACTACCTAGTTTCTCGAAGTGGGCTGAGCCTCTTGTCTTGAGCTCAGGAGCAGACTTGAAAGGCCTAAAGTAATTCCCTAATTACCACTAAAAAAAAGTAATTCTCTAATTTAGCCCAGCAAAAAGGCTCCCCCACCTTTTTCAAAAAAAAAGGCTCCCCCACCGTTCCCGCGAGACAGCCTCGTACGTCGTGTGGCAGGCGTCTGATGTGGGAGTGGGACGCCACCTCCCTCGCCGGCGCCCTCAAATCCGCCGCCACTGGCCGTTCCACTCCCCATGTCAAACCCCTCCACGCTGTCCTCCTCAAGCTCGGCCTGTCGGCGTCCGCCATACTAGCTACCTCACTCGCGCACCTGGCACTCAGGTGCGGGCTCCCTGGTTACGCCCGCGCTCTGTTCGACGAAATGCCCAGACGGGACGTGGTCTCCTGGACGTCCCTCATTACCGGCCACGCTCACCAGGGTTTGCACGCAGATTCTCTCGCACTTCTGAGGCGCATGGTGGAATCTGGTGTTGCTCCCAACGGGTACACCCTGTCCGGTGGTTTGCTCGCGTGTGCCGGGGTTGGCCAGGCCGCCCTTGCTGCCGGGAAGGAAATCCATGCCAGGGTTGTGAAGATGAGTATGTATGGCCCGGTCGATTCAGTTGTGGATAACGGGGTTCTTGACATGTATGCGAGGTGCCGGAATGTTGAATATGCGAGGAGAGCGTTTGGGGTGATGGTGGCGAGGGACATTGTTGCGTGGAACTCGATGATGGCTGGGTATCTCGGGAGTGGTCAAGCTGAGGAGACTCTGGGCTTGTTTGCGTCAATGGTTTCTTGTGAGGTTGGTGCAGATGGCTTCTCGTATGCCATAATTGTGGATGCGTGTGGGGAGCTGGCGTTGTTAAAACAGGGGATGCAAGTGCATGCACGGGTTCTTGGTGCAGGATTTGATTCTGATGTTGTTGTAAGGAATTCCTTGCTGGATATGTATGCAAAGTGTGGATGTGTTGATTCAGCAGAGCTTGTCTTCAATGGGACACCTTCATTAGATGCTGTTTTGTGGACTACGATGATCTCAGCCTATGGCAAGTTTGGTCGTGCACAAGACGCGGTATGCTTGTTTGATAGGATGGCACGTTTGGGCATCAAAAGAGATGGAGTAGCATACCTTGCGGTGTTGTCAGCTTGTAGCCATGGTGGACTTGTTCGAGAAGGTTGGCACTACTTCAAGTTTCTGTTTGATGGCCAAAGCTCGGTTAAGCTGCAGCCTGAGCACTACGGTTGTATGGCAGATCTAATTTGCAGGAGAGGTCACCTAGAAGATGCTCTTGAATTCATTGAGAATATGCCATTTGAGTCGAGCATTGCTGCTTGGAGTGCGCTACTTAATTCCTGTCGAATCTATGGGGATGCTAAGTTAGGTCAGCTTGCAGCGTCCCGTTTACTCGAGCTTGATCCAGAGAACCACAGTAACTGGGTTGCTTTATCAAGTATACATGCATCGGAGGGCGATTGGCATGAGACATGGATGATCAGGGAGAACATGAACAGAGAGTGGGTGAAGAAAGAGCCTGGATGTAGTTGGGTCGAGTTGCATGATGGAATTCATGTATTTCTAATGGCTGATCAGTCTCACCCTGAATTGGTTAATGTACTGCAGACTCTTGATTCTTTAAGGAAGATATATGGGTGATGCCTTCAAAACCATAGACGATTTTTGGTGATGCTCTTTGATCAGAGCTATTTTAAATCTTGTTGAACAGTGGACATTGTCCTAGTTGGTTGTTTCCCTTAGAACTAGTGCTACTAGTGACGTCAAATAGGCTGTGAGATGAAAATATGTCCTTGGAAATTTGAAATTGCAGCAAGAGGATAAGTAAGGTGATACGCTCTGGCGACTTGCTTATGTGTGTTTTGTAGATTATACTATATGCGACGGTTTTCAAGATGGTGCTTTCATTCGACCATGAAGAAGTTTTCTTATATATTGAATTGTCGACACAGATGGATATATTGTTCGTTTAAAATAGTAGGATTTCATCAATGCAAATAAGTAAGTGCTTCTTTGATTCAAAAGGTATTTTGGTGGATTCTACTTCGGATTATCCCCCTATAGCTCTTGTTTCATCTATAGACTTAAAGCACATAGATTATTATTTTTCGTATGGAGCACTTTTCATGCAATTTCAAAGAAAATTTTCTATTGAGCCCAACCTCATGGAAAAAGATTGTGTTTCTATGATGACTATGACAATGACCTAATCATTCAAGAAAGTTCATATTTTTCTTGTGGTTCAACCAAACAACTTCTATTACACATTCATGTGTTTTAATTCCTATGGGGTTCGACATGCCATGACATTCAATTCCTATGTTTTTCCTATTCTTGTGTGTTTTTAAATCCTGCAAAACAAAGAAGCCCTAAATTTGATTAAACCGAAAGTTAATCCTTTGTTACTGCAGTAGAAAAACTTGCATTGATGGCCTTATAGGATGTGAGATAATAATCCTTTATTTCATTGGTCTTATCTTTTTGTACTTATTTGTAAGTATCTGCTTAGTATGTTGTTCGACTGTATGGCTATGGCTGTATGACTGCAAGGGACTGATCTCTGTTTTTCCAGCTGCCTTTTGTTTTAAGGAAAATCTAGTCAAGAAGGAGGTGCTTGAACAAGATTGAAGTGAAGGTCCAGTTTCCAAGATGGGCCAGGTATTCTGCCAACTCTTAAGTGTAAGCCCTTCTGCTAAAAAATGTGTTCATGTTTCAATGCAAACACAGTTCTGTTTGTCTTTGTCATATGTTTTGATTGCTAGACATCAGGACACCAACGACACATATGAGATACATAGTGCTGATACATTGAAATTTCTTCCGTCAGGATAGTTGTTCTTCACTCCATGAGGGTCAGACTGTGCATCTGAGCCATCCTCATCTTTGAGTATATCGTGTTGACCTAAGGACCAAATTTCTACTAGAACCATAGCAGCCATGCTTGCAATGAGATATTTGAGGGCGGATGTTTGCTGAGACCAACCAATGTGATGCAAAGCATATAGTTCCTGTCGCCAGATGTTTGCAGTAAAATGATTTAGCATTTCCATACTTCAGAATGATTTCTACTTTGATGTATCTTACAACTCATCATAGTATCTTGGTGTATACTTTATGGTATACATTTTGAATACTCTATTATAATCGTAATATGGATCAGAGGGGTAATATAAATATTTGATGCCAGGAGGAACCTGGTGTTGTTTCTCTTTATATTGCAATGCAATGTAGTAACTATTATAGATAAATTTGTACTTGTCAATACAGCAGTAGACCGCCTACTATGGATTCATTTGAACAAATTGAACATTTGTCATGAAAATTTATACCCTTTCACTTACATCAGCATAAGCTTACGCTCTAGCTCCGGAAGAACGTTGCATGCATCAACGCTTCAGAAGTGGAAACATAAAATAAAATCAAACAGCAGTATTATCAGTTTTCAGAAATTCTGAAGCACGGCATCTTCTCTTCATCTCCTGATTAGCAGATAGGCAGAGGCTCGCCGTTCCACTCCTTCAGGCACTCTAGCAGAGCGTCGATGTGCTTTCCCTGGTTCATGGCAATGAACACTTTGTCCACCTCCTCCCCGGGTGACCGTGTCTTCTCTCCGGTCAAGTACACCGTCCCTAACTCCTTGCGCACGAACCGGTACAGAGGGTATGACCGGCAGTCAGCGATACGGTTCGGTTCTGCGGCGGTGCCATTCTCCACTGCACCTCTAGCAGCCTCGACCTCCTGAGGCAGTGCCGCGCAGAGCTCCTGCTCGAATGTAGCAACCTTGGCAAACACCGAGGTTTCCGCGTTGCGCTCAGCCTCGCCATTGGCCAAGGCGTGCTCCACCAGCACCGCACGCATCTTCTTCATGAGAGGGTAGTTGGCGCTGCAAGGGTCGTCTGCGTATGCAAACACCGCTTCCCGGTCGATTGTCTGAAGCAAGTCCTTCTCACAAAAACGAGCGTTGTGGAGGCCACCCATGTCATTTGTGATCAGGGTCTTCCTAGCCACTCTCGTGACACAATTCTTGACGGCATTCTTGACATTCTCTTCAAGGTGGCGCAGGTCGATGGCTTGGCACAACGCAACCAGAAACGTAGAGGACATGAGCTTCAGAATGTCGATGGCCTCGGCGGTCTTCCGAGACGAGATTAATCCGAGGGAGTTAACATCTTGGTTGTGCTGCTCCGCGCTCTGGACATGGTTGGTCACAGGGTTGCCCAAGAATTGAAGCTCCGAGCAGTATGACGCCATGGCGATCTCGGCACCCTTGAAGCCATAGTCCAAGCTTGGGTTGCGGCCACCAGAGAGGTTGGAGGGCAAGCCATTGTTGTAGTAGTCGTTCACCAGCTCCGAGAATTGGGCAAACATGAGCTTGCCGATCGCAGCAATGGCAAGCCTCGTGTTGTCCATTGACACACCGATGGGTGTGCCCTGGAAGTTGCCGCCGTGGATTGCCTTTCCACGAGATACGTCAATGAGTGGGTTGTCATTGACGGAGTTGATCTCGCGCTCGATCGACTTTGTCGCTGCACGAATGACCTCAATTTGTGGGCCGAGCCATTGCGGTGACGTGCGGAGAGCATATCTATCTTGCTTTGGCTTCATCAAAGGGTCGAGTTCACCAAGTTTCTTGGCAAGCATCATGTAGGAGCTGCCCTCTAGGATGTGCTCCATGATAGCCGCGGCCTCGATCTGTCCAGGGTGGTGCTTTAACTTGTGAGTCAGGTGGTCGGTGTACTCTGGCTTGCCATTCATCACTTCGCAGAACACAGCCGACAAAACTTCAGCAAGGACACCAAGGATGTTCGCTTCAAAGAGAACAATCGACGCTAGCCCAGAGCCCACGGCGGTGCCATTAACCATAGCAAGGCCTTCCTTGGGCTGCAGCTCGAAGAAACCGTGCTGGATGCCGGCAATCTTAAATGCCTCGGCGGCATTAACTTTGGTGCCATCGGGAGCCACAGCCACGGCATTGGGGCGGCCGGTGACAAGTCCAGCGATGTAGGAGAGTGGGACGAGATCGCCGGAAGCGGTGATGGTGCCCCGGAGCGGCAGGCACGGCGTCACGTTGGCGTTGAGCAGCGTGGCGATCGTCTCGAGGATCTCGAAGCGGATGCCGGAGTAGCCCTGGAGCAGGGTGTTGACGCGGACGAGCATCGCCGCGCGCGTGGTGGCCGCGGGCAGCACGTGGCCGTCGCTGCCGGTGCCGAACGCCCCGGCGTTAAGGAAGCGGATGAGCTCCCTCTGCAGGGCGCCGCCCTCCTTGGTCCTCCGATGGGAGGTGGCGCCGAAGCCGGTGGTGACGCCGTAGCTGTCGGTGCCGTTGGCCATGCTGGCCATGACCCAGTCGCTGCTCTCCTTGACGCGGCCGCGCGCGGACTCGTCGAGCTCCACCCTGGCCCCGCCGGCCGCGGCCACGGCCGCGACCTGGGCGATGGTCAAGCTCGCGCCCTCCATGACCACCACCGGCCTGCGGTACTCCTCCACCATCCGCTTCACCGCGTCCACATGGCTCCCCGACAGCTCCGCAGCCGCTTTCCCCCAGTTGAGCGGGTCAGCAGCGCTCCGCGGCTTGGCCACGCACAGACCGTCGTTGCCGTTGGCCGCCATTGGTTTGGTCGAGGCTGTGTCTTGGAGTCTCGATGGAGCAGCTCGGGTGGAGACTGGTGGTGTTTACTGTATCAGCTGGAGCAGCTCGATGTATGTGTGGAGCAGCCTTGAGAGAGAAGAGCTCGTTGGAGTAGGAGAGGAGGGGGATGCTCTTCTTGGATGGAAATGGAGGAGAGGGCGGGATTAAATAGGTAGCGCCGGCAGGGTGGGTGGCGATGGAGATTTGGTGTGGGCTGTGACCGGGATGGTTGTGTTGACCGCCGGACTTGGCCGGGTGAGCACGAAGGTGGGTTGGTGGCCTCGTGCGTGCGTTCTAGGAAGAAGACGACGAAGAAAGGCAGCTGCTGCGACACTGGGATACTAGTATACTATGCTGTGCCATGCGAGGGGAACGCACGAGTCTGACGCTGCACGCGGTTGCTAGCCGATGGCGATGGTCTCCGGCTGATCAAGTCTGTTATGGAGACGAGCTGCAGCGGCCAGCCTACAAACCAGCTAGTCAGCAGCAAACTTGTCCATTATCGTCCCAGTGATTTCCAGATTTAAGTTTACACCACATTACCTATCTAAATAATAAATAATTTCTGCATATTTTCGTTGCGGACTTTTCCTAACGCCTCATTTGGTACAAGGGGCTTGAGGGGTTTCCAGAGGATCAACCCCGCGGGGCCCAAAAACCTCTCAAAGCACCGACGGCCCGTTTGTTTCACATGGTTTGCATAGCCCAATCCCTTCCATCCCCCTTTGATCCCCTTCTATCCACGCGTCTCCCAAGCCCCGAGGGCACACGCAGGGAACACGCCCCGCCCGCCTCTCCATCTCGGCCTCCGGCTCCCGCTCCGCCGCCCCGTCGCCACCACCGCCCACGCCGCGAGCTCCCTCTCCTCCGCCCGCGGCGACCCGCGTGAGGCGGCGGTGGCGGAGCTTCTGCGGGACCACGGCGCATCGCCGGAGGACGCGGCCGCCATCGCCGCGCGCGCGTCGGGGTACGCAGCCATGCTGGCTGACGGCGTCAGGGGCTGGAAGAGCTCGGGCTCTGGGCGTCCTGGAGAGCCAGGGCGGGCGCGCTCGGGTTCGGCAGGAAGGTGTACTTCATGGGGCGGAGCCGGCGCGACGGCCCCGTCGTCCTGCTCGTCGAGAGCCTCGGCGTGCACCTCTCCTCCGCCAAGCTCATCGCGCCCTACTTGCCGCCGAGGGGCTCCCCGTGCTCATCCTCAGGGTGAGTGGCCATGGCATATGTTCCTGTAGTCAAAGTTCCATCTTGGACATCACATCTGTATTAGAACAGAGTTCACAGTTTGCGTTGCATTTTCCGCCTGCGGCTAGCAGAAAGTGAAATTCAGAAGTAAAAGGAATGCTCAAACGCGACGCCACTACACCACCCATTGCTTCATCTGTTTTTTAAAATGCCAAACTATTTTAACCAATTACTGTTAATCAGATTAGAAAATGTGCAGCAAATTTTCGTTGACACTAGTAAATGGTGGCATCGCATCTCTGTCTGATATTGTGACTGTATGGATTATGAGTTTATGACTGAGTCAGATGAGTTATTGTTGACAAATGTGCTACTCCCTCCAATCCATATTACTTGTCGCTGTTTAAGTACAACTTTACAGGAGGGAGTACTGTTTTTTACTATCTTATATATGTTCAGTAGGTTGCAGCATTCTTTACTTAAGGTTTTTATTCGTGCATAGGTTAAGTTCTTGAAGGAAATGCTGTTTTCAAGCAGTGGCTATTAAACTCTAATCGGACGGAATGCTAAGCGCATGATGGCGCACTTGTCAATACCTGCAGATGAGGCACTCCAGAGTACGCTGTCATTTTTCAGAAAAGTAAGTTTTACAGTCCAGTTACCGTGTCCCATTGCTAAAAGAATTTTACTGTTTCCCTATCTCATCGAATCATTTCCAATGCTTCTTCTCTGCTCAGAGGACAAACATCTTCAGGCATTAATTGATTTCCTCGAACACATTGGAGTTCCCAAGCCAAGGATTCCATCAACTCTGCTGGCATTTCCTCCTATTATCCTTTCTGATGTCAAAAAGGATATCAAGCCAAGGATTCATGCATGGGAGAAGGTATGCTAAAAGTACATGATTCAAAACTGAACCCTTATGTTTGTGAACGATTCTGGAACTTGCAATATTATTTTTTTCTCTAGACAACAAGTGTAGTAGTGTAATATTATCCTTTTTCCCTAGGCTGGCATAGAACAAGAGTATATTGGTCGGATGTTGTTGAAGTATCCATGGATTCTTTCAGCAACTGTGATAGAAAACTACAAGCAGACCCTTTTGTTCTTCAACAGAAAAAAAGTAACTGGAGGAAAAAAAATCCTACTATGCCAACATGGCTTAAGATATCTGTTTTATGCTGTATTTGTTTGTAGTCTATCATAATTGGATATGATAGTGTTCGTAAATCCGGTTTTTGATTTCAGATTTCCAGACATTTCTTGGTATCGCTGTCAAAAGTTGGCCTCACATTCTGGGTTGTTCAACAACAAGAATGAACTCAATTCTGGTGCTGTTTGATGATCTGTGCTTTCCATATAAACTCCATTTGTAGTGGAAAAGCCTCTTTGCTTAGCTTTAGCTCTTTCTTTTTCTTCTTTTGGGAAACAACAATCAATTGTCAGTATCGTACATGTTCCATTAGGTTGACATCGATAACAGGTTTCATCATCATTATGTTTTGAGTTTTACAATTTTGCATTGTTGCCCAATTATTTCTAGGATTATGACTCGGGAGGCATGAATGTGTGGCCAAACCTCTAGTCCTAAATTGTTGATATAGGTTCATAGCATACTTTCCTGTCAGTATGTAGTTGTTCCACGCAGCAAGTCTTTTAGTTACATTGTGATCCATATCTGGGGATGATCTTCCAGTAACTCGCTATCTTGGTACTAAATCTGTTACCCCTGTGTCGCCCCTTGGACAAAGTTTGTCATTGAGATCAGTTATCTTGAACGTTCCTTCTTTTCGTCTCAGTGACCATGGCCATAGTGTGACATGAAGTTTTATCTTTGCTCCTCAGGACACTAGTGCTTTGTTGGTATCCTCTTGCACTGTTCATTGTTTTATTAGCCTGCCAATTCTACATAAATATCCTTTGTCCTGACAAAAGGTTGTTCCTGAAAAAAGCTTTACAATTCCTGCCATAGTATCCCTTTTGTTCAGCTATTTGTTGTAATGGTTTTTTCTAAAGGCACTCTAATGTTTATCTCTTTTTGTTTCATCAGGTTCTCATGCACCAAAAGAAGCAACAATAGACAAGTTGGATGAATAAATTTCTTTCAGGTTCTCAATGCTAGATGACCATGATACCAAAAGATGGATACATTTTTCTGCATTATCTTCGTTGCAAAATGATGTTGTGGCTGTGATGAATTGTTTGCTGCGAAAGATTATGTTGATATGATAAATTATGAATGCTGGGATTTGGGGTTCAAAGTCATGCTGCTATGATAAATTATGTTGTTGTTGTGATGAGATATTGATTTCAAGTCATGCAAAATTGTGTTGCTGTTGGGAAAGCTGTTGCTAAATTATGAGATATTGATTTCAAGTCATTTTTATCAGGTGACCTTTACAATTCTGTAGCAAGGATATAAGGGGAGTTAGTTACGATGTAAAGATTGGATTTTTAAATGTTCTACACCATGTTATGTCAACATGACAAACCCTTTCAAACAAATAGAAATTTTAAATGAAGAGGATTGTGAAAGGAAGGGTTTTGAGGATTCAAGGGGTTTTGAGGGGATTGGGTGGAAGAGGGGATTCACCAAATCCCCTGAAATCCCCCTTCCCAAAACCTCTACAATCCCTTCCTATCAAACAAGGCCTAACGCTGTCTATTTTGGAATACTCGTAGTAGTAGTAGTACTTTAGAGACAGGTGTTAATGAAACGTACTGCGAAGGAAACTCATTCATTCTTGACGAAAGGAAATGAGGACGTTCACCTACATATAACTTGATTATTAGTAATGCAAGTCTTTGGCCAAAAAGATACAAAGAGAGACGAGAGAGCAAGAGAGTGGGGGAAATTTTACTACCGCTACTACCCGGTTGGAGCATATCACCAAGGAGGCTTATATCCAATCATGGATGATGGTGTAGTATTCGGATATGACCTCCTTCATCCTATGATTGTTTTATGTTTACCTTTTCTATCAAACAATGTTGTCGTTTTTTACTTTTCTTGAACGCGATGGCCGCGCGCATCATGCTACCCAGATGCCAATACGGCGGTATCAGTCTGATGTAATGATCGAATGAAATTCTGTTTATCGAAAAATTTACAATACACATAGTTGCTCAAAAACAAAAACGAAATTACAGTACATATGTGTACTTATATGGGCCGAGGCCCGTACATGGGCGAGCCAAGACGGTCGCCCCTTTCACCCGGCCTGTCCTTCACTAGAGTGAACGAAGCATACATATAAAGATAGATAACATAAGTCATAAGTAAGAAAAAATATTGTCCTTCAGTTCTCAAGCAAAATTCGTATATCTAGGCCAGATACGTCGCATGCATCATGCAGTACACGTACATTGCTCCGGCAATCGAACTCCTTAATGAAACCATGCTCGAGCAAGCTGCGGTGGTGGCGCCCGCCAAATCATCTGCAAATTCATCTGTCAGCCACTGCGTGAGGTATATATGTAGAGTATCTATCTATCAACCATGCGCAGGCGCAGGCGGAATGTGCGTACCCGCCCCATAGGCCTTTCATGAAGTCGAAAGACCAGCTGCCGCCGCCGCCGCCCCTCCTTTGCTGCGGCCGGTAGCCGTCCATCAAGTCCATCCGGACATGCGCCGTCGCGGTCACGGCCAGCAGCAGGACAACCGCCGCGACCATGGCGATGTGCAAGCTCGTCCTCATGGTCGTCGCCGGCGTACGTGCGTGCCGTTCTCCTCCCCTGCCTCTGGCCCTCTCCGTCCTTATCCTGTACTGGCTATATAATGTATGAGCCTCCGGATGCCACG